GAGGCTGCACAGCGCCAGAGCCGTGAGTGGTAATGAAACCTGACAGCTGCACAGAACACACCATTCACCTTTAACTTTAATTAAAATAGAGTTTATTAGCTTTTCTTTTTAATACAAACATGAGAAAGGAAAACCACCTGAAGATGTAGCGTTATTTTCAAAAGTGAATTGCAATCAATACCTGAAGTGCCAAGTTCCATGGGTTTGGGAGCTGGGGGCTGGCGGGCGGCTGGACGCGTCCCAGGGGAGTGCAGCCCGACTGCCGTTCGCACGGCCCCTCTCTCAAAGGCACATGGACCTGCTGTTCAGTGGGAGTTTCTGGGCCTTGGCTGGAGGAGGAAGTGCACAAAACCCCTGCCATTCGGAGCGAGGTCTGCTCCTGGGACAAACCGCCTGGAATCTATTTGGATCCAAGAAGGGAAGGTACTACAAAGACTTGTAACAGGAAGAGTCTAATAATACTTATCCTGTTTAGAGTTCAGTTTCAGAGCCTGAGAGTAAGCTCCATTCCAAAGACTCAGAAAGAGCAAAACCCAAGCCTCTAGAGCAGTTGCACAAGATAAAATTCACTTTTCAAGGAAAAAAAAAAATCAACTGGGTTTTATAGAAAGCTTTTTGCTAATTCTCAGCTGAACACCATATTTGTCATTCTACCTTGTTAGGTAGTGGAGGATTCTCAAGCTCATCACGGACTCGTGATGTCTGTAAATCTCTCCGAGGAGAGCCAGGTGGGATCTCCACTGGCTCCAGCCCCGAGACCTGCGGGAGGACTCGGAGGAGCCGCGCTGCACACACGCCACCCACCGCGGGGCTGCGGCGCTGCCGGGAGGGGGATGATGCTCCCACAACAACGTCCTCGTTCAACACCTCAGAAAGAGATACAGACTGCGTCCCTTCCAGAGCAATGCAAGGATTAGAAAATGAGAGAAGCACCATAATTCACAAGAAATGCAGCATGGACCCTATACACTTTGACAATACGTAAAACCCTATCTCTGCCCCCAGTCAGAACATTCGAAGTCTTTTGACAATCTCTACTGGAGTGGAGTTGTGGGTGCAGAGCTGGAATTCCTTCCTGCTGGGCAGCTTCTTGGTTACAAACAGATCACCAATAATAGCAGCTTTTAGTAGCCAAACCAGGGAAAAGCTGTCAACACGTGTCTATGCTACTGTTTGCAGCTCCAGAGTGGCTTTGTACTTTAAGAGTCCCATGTTTTGTTTTTGTGTTTCTTTTTGTTAACGCTGCATCCACCTGAAATACAAATGCAGCGAGACTCTGGGTGACAGGGAAGAGGAGGGGAGGAAATTGTAACTATAGTCATGTGGTTAGTGTTGAAATTCTAAAATTTTAAACTACTTATTAAAAACCTCAAGAGTTCACAGCTATAGGCCTACATAGTAAGCAAACATCTGTGGGGGAGAGAAGTTTGTTTTTTGCACCTCTGGATACATAGAAGGAGGAGAGAGTTGATGTGACAAAGGTCTTTGTCTTTTGCACCAGGTATGCTCCTCAAGCTCTGGGCTCCCTTGGCTGGTTCACCCTCCTCTCCTCCTCTTGCTGGAAGACACCATCACCGCTGGCTGGTGTGCGTGGAGTGGTGGCATTCCTCCAAGTCGTCGGGATGCTGGCTCAGGGTGGTTTCTCTCTCCTCAGGAGAGGATGGCATTAGAACGGCGGATACCAACTAAGTTATCAGCACTGAAAGATCGTCTCATAGCAGCTTTTGACAAGTCTTTGTATTTGTCTTCACACAGCCGGGAGATGGCCTGGACACCACATTCACATACAGAATGAAAAGCACACGTTAGGGAAGCCCGAGCGTTTCAAAGGCGCCTTTACAGGTGTCATGCCAACAGGGCAGCCCCTCTGTAGCAGTCCCACTACTAGCTTTTTTTACCTAGAAGGAGAATAAGCAAGATCTACTCTGGAGGGAAAATATTACAGGGGTCTATCCCCAGGCTAACAAGAACCCTCTCCATCAGTAACTAAGACACACAGGAGGTAAGTGGTTTCCAGGTCCAAGTGTCTTCGTTGTTTACCAATCTCACCATCTAACAGAAAACTTGAATCCATTTCTGACTTAGGAGTTTGTGGAAGTTGTGTTCAAAATTGCACCTAGTGGCCAGGACTGCAGCATGCAGCAGCACAGAACTTATTTTAACTGCACACAGCTGTTTCTAGGAGAGAAAAGGTCCAAACTGGAAACATTTCTGCATTCTCCCAGGCACCTTGCCCTCGGCCACTCAGTGCAAGTCAGCCTTGGAAATGGAAGTCCTGCTAGGACGTGGGTTTTACCTTCACCTTCCCTACCCCTTTGTCCCCAGGATGCTCCTCCTGGGATCACTCCCATGACCAGGTCCTGAGGAGGCCTGAGAAGGGCGGGCAGCTCCCTGCTCGATGGCACAGCAACAGCCATGGCTCTTTAATACACCTATTAAACATCAGCACATGTGGACAGCTTAGCATTTAGCTGCTTCTTCACCCATTCATTGGCTTGCCTCTGCTTATCTAGCTAGTCAAGCAGCCTTTATTCTGGTGCAGCTATTCTAGTAACAAGCCTACTTATTTCAATCCAAGTAACACAACTGTCCAGAAAAGTGTCCCCTCCCCTGCAAGGCCTATTTCTGACTGGAGCCCTCAGGCGTTATCAATGCAAACAAATAAGGACACTCATAACAAAAGGCCGAACTGAATTTCAGTCCTGAACAGTTACTTCCATTAATAATTTACCACCTAGCAGCAGATGAACTCTGGGAGTCGTGTGATCAGCTAGGAGCCTGCCCCTTCCCTTTAAGGCAGCACCCATTCAGCACAGCCCGGCGGTCTGCAAGTTCAAAAGGTGAGCAGCACTCTGAGCATGAATAAACTCCTGAGTGTGTTTTAAAATAACTATTTACATTTATTCCTGCCCACCTCCTGAGGCCTGTGTTTGGCTCAGGAGTGGCGTTCTGTGAACACGGGCTGCAGGAGCTCCCGGTGCAGCACCAGACAGACTCTCTGTCCTGTTTTAATGCTGGCACATCAATCATAAAGCAACCCGTGTTGACATCCTCAGCCCCAGTCACCCATATGGTGTAAATCAGTTTTCAGTCCCTGGAATACTAATTTGCTGCTTTGTACAGGCTCCTATCAATGGCTTGTGTGCTTCTAACCAAAAAGCAGCATTAAAACTTTCAGGAAACAGTCCTACCTGCATGCATTACTGAGTGCCTGACTGCAAATCACACACTGTACTGAAAACTGCTCTGCTTTTAAACACCCAGCTCCCAAATGCTGCCAGAGAAGAAACAAAACAGGCTCACAACCTGTAAATCATCCACTTATGCCTGGGCGCTGAGCAGTTCAGTAAACAATTTCCTGTGGAATATGAACTGCCCTGCACCCACATTTACAGTTAGTGACAGCGTGAGCTTAAAGTGCAAGCAGCAAGGGTGAGACAAAGCAGAAGAGCTGCACTGCTTAACTTGAGAGGTGTTTGTAGGCACATCATGCCTGTCGTTCCAGAGGAATAGGAGGGATCACGCTTCTTCCCAAAGTTCAGCCACTTCTGGGATGAAATGAAAAACCTGGCACTTGGCAGAATTCTTGGGGGTGGACAATGGAACAGTGTAAGCCCAGAACACCACAGCACACCCCTCTCTGAAAGGGACTGTGGTATCAGTGTACACGGGGCCTGTGGCAATGCCTTTGTTGAAAGGTCAACAAAACAACATGCAGAGTCATCAATTAAACCTGGACAGATGAAAGGTTGCATTGATCCAACGTGAAATTTTGCCTGGGAACCCAGGTAATTTAGATATTCTCAGAATGTCTTACTATCTCCAGCAACTGGAAGGACTGACTCTGTAAAAGTTCAGGGTTTTTAAAAAGAGCCTTCCTACCAAAGGCAGCTGCAGGGGCTCAGAGAAGGGCAGCCCTTCCCATCAGGCAGAAAGGACCAGGAATCTGTAGTTACACTCCTCTGAACATTCTGAAGGACTCCTACAAAGTGGCTATTCCCAAAGTTTATCTAAAAGCAACATTTCTTTGGAAAGGTGAGGGTCTAAAAGATGTGAAAAGAAACATATTATTATTTCTGCAGCTGCCCCAGACAAATGGTTTATTAAACCATGAGAGCAGTAAGAGTGCTCCCTCTAAATCTTCATGCAGCTGTGCAGAGGGGTGCAGTGGGAAACCTTCAGCTGGTAGTATTTAGAATGGTCTGACTGTGACTGTCTCTAGGTGCTTGGAATACAGACTGTGACCAGGGAAGGACAGACAATCCATTACATATGACACTAATCCTTTCAAACTTAAGTAGCCTGGCTGAGCTACGGCTCCCAAAATAACAGCTGCTTTATTTTGTGATCTGCTGGACTACCCTCATCTCTGTCCCTTCCTTCAGAATACGAGCTCAGCCTATGCAGGGTTTCCAAGGTGCTAACTGTAGTTATAAAGGGGTTAAATTAGCCTGTAATGCACTAATCTAAAAGCTTTTTAGTGTTTCTAACCACTGCTTATCGTGATTAGCAACAGATGCTCTTACTCCACACAGGGAGTCCCCTGCTCAGCCCAGCTCAGACCGTTACCTCCAGTTTCTGTGCTCTCTCTTTGCTGAGAGGCTCCAGCAGAAAGCTCAGGTTATTGTCATCTGCTAGGGAGCGAAGATCGAAGTAGTATTTGGCGTAAACACTGGCAGGAACATTGATATTAAACTGCAGGAGCTCCAGGAAGTGTCTTTCCATCTCGTTCCTAAGAGGCGTAAGGGACAGAAGAAAAAAAAGATTGTTTTAGCAGGCTGAAAACACTCCAGCTTGTTTTTAAACCCAGCAACTTTGCAATAGTCATGGAGAGCTCTGCATTATTAGTCTCGAGAGACAGGTCATTCACTCCTGCTCCAAACAAGGTGCAGCTTTTGAGCCCTGGCACCTCCTGCTCAGAGGGAAAGGTAGTGCCCTGGCGCGCGCTCGCCGGGCTGGCTGGGGAGGGTCATTCTCCAGAGTTCCATTAGTGCAGCTGTACAATTCATGCACCATTCTCACTCTGTACGGCCCCACACTATAGTGATCAGATGAAAGGAATGATGTATGCTGTTTATTAGCTCTGAAGAACTTGCAGACATTTTCACCAGGCTGATAACAGGAAGGGGGTTTATTGAAGTAGAGGCGGGCTAACAAAAGGAGTAGGCAGATCACCACGGCAACAAATGGATCTATGAAGAGCTGCTGCTATTATCTCACAGAAAAAAGCCTCTTGAAGCAACATGGATTCATCTCCAATAAATAAATAAATAAGCAGCATTAGGTGGGAGAAGGAATTTTCTTCTCAATAGCATTAGGCAGGATAACAAAGTACTATGTCAAAGGGCACTGTCCAGTTTTTACTCGCTCGTCTGTTTGCTGGGCAAAATATTTGGAGGAAAGTGAGGAGAGCACCATGCCATGAAAAAGGCTGCTTCAGCTACTGTACCATGGTCAGCTAAACCAGAGATGTTCTACAGAGGAAAAACAACGTTCTTCCAAACAAATTAACCTGAAAGAAACTGGTGGCACCCAAACCAAGCTATTCAGTTCAACACTTAACAACCGTTCCTACTGGTAGTAGACCTGTCTCAACAGAATTCAGCAGCTGTACAGCCAACTGGGAACACCCCAGAAGGTAAGCTGCACAAATTCCGTGGCCCAAAACCTGTCTTGCTTTTTGGGAGCTTTTAAAAGGGATGTTCTGCCTATCAGAGGGGGGAAATGCATCCAGGAACCATCCAGGTTGCGTCCCGTGTTGGATGGTGGGTCTCAATATGAATAGCAGCTTTGTGCTTGTTTCCAGCATACTGGACTTGAGTATCATTGAACCTAGTGCCAAAATGAATTTCCTGTTCATATGGTCATAAGCCTATAGAAATGTAAATCAGATAATGTTTTGATGATCAGCTGATCGGAGCTTGATTTACCCTGTGAATAAATGCCCCTTTTGTACTCACTGGGCTAATACATTTTAATTGTGTAAAAATACAATTCTTCATTGGATTAACAAGTCTATTAACAGTGGTTTAAAACCTGAGAAAGGATAATGCCCATGTGTTTTCTGTGCCTTATTTACAAATATATGTAGCCAAAAGAATGAACAGCATGTGTCCCCTTACAAGCAATCACAGCCAGATTAGCAGCTGCACAGTTAATTTTTCCAGTGATTATGGATTCACTCTCATCAAAGCGAGGAAGTTTTGACAAAGGATGACTTCCAAATACCAATTTAATTTCCTTTGATTTCTTTCCCCATTAGAAATAAGTAAAAAAAAACAAAAAATCCCCCCCCCCCCCAGAACAAACCCTTTTGGGGTGTAACTCCCGTGCCTGGCTTGCAGCAGCTCAGCAGGAGTATCCACCAGGTCAGTGAGATCATTCAAGAGATGCTGAACCAAGAGGGAAATGTGCAGAAAGTTCAAACTAAACCTGCCACTTGCAGACAGGGCTTTACTGCACAGGATTGCCCCATCCATGGAACGATACCTGGTTGAGTCCTGCCAAGGCATCTTCACCTGGGGAGCTGCTGGGGCTTTGGGTGGGTTTTCTTGGCAGCATCACCAGCCACCTCCAATGTTAGAAGGCAACCATGTCTGAAATCCTTTGCCAACTGTTGTCTCTCAGTAACACTTGTATTCAGAATACCCAACAATCACCATCAAGTGACTAGTTTAAAAAAAATATTTGTACTACTAAAGCTTACAATCAACTACAGCATCAACTATTAATTGAAAGCAGACTTGGAAACATAAATCTCAGTTTTGCTGAGTATTTTAAGCAGTTTTCCAAGGTCCTGATTATGGTGATGTCATCCAACCCAGGAGCAGTGACACCTTCCAAGTTTCAGCAGCACAGGGTCTGGGATGGAGGCCCCTGGGCCACTGGCAGAAGAGGTTGAACAGTTTCTGCCTGGATCTAAATTCAAAGGTGTAAGTAATTTTAAAGGAGATGGGATTACAAAAATTCCCATGTTCAAATTGGAGGGAAAAAATAAGCCTAAATTCAGCCTATTTTCCTTAGTACCACCACTGCTTTGAAAATGTAAGTACTGACAATTTCAGGAGACCCAGCATTGGCAATAGAGAATAAACACTCTGTTTGTTACAGGTATTTTCAGTGCTATCAATTTGATTTGTCCCAAATAGGGCCAGAAGAAGAGACATCAAAAAGAGCAAGATGTGTCCTCCAGCACTCCGAGCATCGCCGACCCCACTTCAGCCATCTCAGGGTTATTTGCAGCAAGGCCTCAAGTATGTTCCTCAGACAGAAGAGCACTCTGAGCCAGGCTGAGCCAAGATGCACATCATATAAAATCACTAATTATGCTTCCTGAAACAGCCCTGCTCCTGGAGATGGAGAACTCAGGCAAGGCATACTTGGGATACTGTGTTTGCTGTTGCTGTTTGCAATGTAAATAACTTGAATAACAAAAACTGGTTTGGTAGAGATTTTTAGAACTGCTGCCCCCCCACCTGAATGGAAGAAAAATGGGATATCCTAAAGATTCCCAGATAAATAACTACTTACTGTGCTTAAAACATTAGCTTTAGGCTGAATACAAATCCAGGGAAGAGAGCCTGGGCAAGGACAGACTCTCTCATGTAAGCAGCCTCCCAGCCTGTGTGCAAGACTCTGCCACATCAGTCTGCTCCTGCACTGGAAATGTTCCTGGCCAGGCCTGGACACAGGCTCAGCTACACACAGCAGTGTGATGAACTCACACAGAACACAGCAGGAGCTTTAGGAAGGCCAGAGAGCCTGGTGTTAAGCTCAGTAAGCCAGCCTTCTAGCATTTCTACCACTGTGATAAGGGAAACAGGGCAGCGAGCTGGCAAATGGAACTAAAACAATCATGCTGACATCTCAAAGTTCTCAGAGGCAGAACTTTGCAAGAAGGAATTTAACAGAAAATCTAGGGGGCCAAATGCACCCCACCTCCACACACCTCCAGCCCACAGTGTGAGCCTGGAGCCAAAAGAATGAACATCCTCTGAAACTGCAGAAATTGTAGGGCTTAAAGTTCAGTGCACCAAGAAATCTACACCTGAGAGAAGAATACATACAGGGAGCAGCCTTACATAAACACAGTGGTAAGATGGAGGATTCTGTCTAAGAACTCAGCTAAATGGGGTGAGTTACAGCAGTAGCTGGATGTAACATGTGCATCCACAGAGAGCAACACAAAGGACATCTCTCTGCTGGCAGCAGCAGCTAGGAATTCAGACCTTGAGACATTTAGGCCTTAGCTGGATACAAGAGCACACAGGTAAGTCACATATTATGACTTACCTTGCAACTTTTTAAATTCTAAAACAGAAAAGGCAGGGGGAAAAATTGAGCTCACTTTTTTTCTTCCCTTTCCAAAGAAGACTTTTGATGAGATTATAAGCTGGGTGTTACACCAATGCAAAAAATTAGTGGAAACAAGGAGCCAGTCCCATGGTTCATCACTGCGGTGAAGAAGGTGAGGAAAACTGTGAAGTTACTCACTCAAGCCATTAGAAACACTACTACAGATTTGTCTCAAAGTAGGGCTATCCAAAGTTTCCTAGGTTGAAAAGGGAATGAGGCCCAACACCAGATACAGCACACATCATGTACACACATCACAGCACCAGAGACAGACAGTTTTTCGGTATGATCACAAAAATTGCCATTCCAAACCAAAACCCCAACCCCCACCCCTGCAGATTAGCCAAACTTTGCACTACTACAGATTTGTCTCAAAGTAGGGCTATCCAAAGTTTCCTAGGTTGAAAAGGGAATGAGGCCCAACACCAGATACAGCACACATCATGTACACACATCACAGCACCAGAGACAGACAGTTTTTCGGTATGATCACAAAAATTGCCATTCCAAACCAAAACCCCAACCCCCACCCCTGCAGATTAGCCAAACTTTGCAACTTACATGTCCTCAACAGTAATGTCCTTCAATATTTGGCAATAATCCACATTCCACACAGCCTGATCATCCCAGACTTTAGAAGCCAGCAGAATAGCTCCTAGGACTATCCTCTTCCAGTTACTAGGGCATATGTCAATCTCTGCATAGGTTAAAAGCCTTTCCAAATAAACCTTTAAAAAGAAGAAAAAACCAGAACAAAACAGGAGCTGGAGCTGAGTTCTGAGCAGCTACCATGCCAATGTACAACTACTGTATCCCATTACCATTTAGCATGTAAAAATGAGTATCAGTGATCACTACTTATGCTTTAGAATCCAAACTTCCAGGTGTTATGGGCTCAATTTTTTTATTTTAAATACAAGAACTGGAGCACCAAGGTATACAAAAAAGATACTGAAGAGTCAGTTCTGAGCAATGAGCACTGCTGACTGAGGGAGACCCTGCTAGAGTTCTCTCTGTCACAGTCCCTGACAGGTTCTCACGAGGGCCTTATCTGGCACAGTAAATCACTCAACATACCAGTGGCCTTTCATCATGGTTAAGGTCCAGCACTTGCAGCTTAAGAGGAAGTGCTAAAACCCTCACTGTGATCTCTGGTGGTGGGATGAAGATGCATTAATTGCTATCTTTCCACAATGAAAGGTGTTACAGTGCCACTTCTACTTCACCCTGTAAAGAGCAGACTTCAGTCCTTCCCCTACAACAAGGTCATGCTCTGCTTTCACCTGCCTTGCCAGCTGCTTTGAGAGTGAAAGATGCCCAAACCCAAAGACATGTCTTGGTCTTCTACTCACTCCTCCCATGTAATCTCAGGTCAGCCCAAAGATGCTGAATCAGTTCCTTCCTTAAAAGTCTGCTGCTATTTTGCACTCCTATAATAATCCACAACTAAGTAATTTGCACTTTCAAATCTGAATACAGTTTTTTTTTAATGTTCTATTCCCTAAACTAAGTCCAAAGTACTAATGAAACCTCAGCTATACTAATGGGTGCAGGAAGCTGTTGTACAGGTCTAAGGGGGGGATCAATCTTTATTAGGGTTTCCCACACTCTCTTTCCATCCTTTGCTTGTAGCCTTCAAGTGGACTGAAGATGTTCCTATAATAGCAGAGCCATCTAGTGGTAAAATCCACTTTGTAAACTAACTCCATTTCTGTTCTTTGTAAATACCTCAGCTGGCTACATCACCCTGGGCTAGCAATCATCTTGTTCTGTCAAACTGCTTGCATGTCTTCGGAAAAGAAAAAGCCTCAAACTACTTTCAGACTTCCAGTAGCTCTATCTGACCTTCTGAGTTACTTATGTCCTCACTGAAGAGAGTCCTTCAAGCTCAGCTTGCTTAACTGCCACACTCTCTTTTGTTGACAGTTCTATTCTGTTCTTTCAGACTTTCTCAGAAAAGAGCCACAATGAAGACTGCAGCAAATGCAACAAAGTGCAGCCCAAGAGATTGTCTAATGCAGCAGTTATATAGGTTGTGGTTTTTTTCTTCCCCTCCCCCATGTATATGCATCTGTGTGCATGTATAGAAACAAGCAGTATCACCCTAATTTTTTTCTTGTTTTCTGAAATCAAACAACAGACTGTAATTAGATTTTTTTTTTTTACTATTATTCTTAAGTTCCAAGTACTTCTACATCACCTGAGGAAAAAAGTTATAGCCTTTTTTATTTAATTTACGAAATTTTGATAGAAAGGTAGCAATGACTGAAGGCCAGAATAGAAAGCTCATCTGGAGTTCACACAGTACTGGTCCTCATCCCCTCGGGTGGTGTGACTTGCACTGTTCTGGTTAACATGGACTGAAAACTCCACTTCCCCTGGCACACAACTGAAATACAAGATGCCTTTGTGTCTGATCTTATTATACACCACTGTTCATGGTGTCCCACTGTTCTGCCTTCCTCAAGCTTCTTCAGCGAGTTATGTATTATAAAACAATGTTTGATTGGACAAGTAATTAAGCACCACATATTCATGTCTAGAAAAGGCAAGTTCCTTTTTAGTTACCCACTTCTGTGACTATGTGGAAATCTCTAGCGAACTCACTTGCACAGGGTCTTCATTACTAACAAGGCTTCACGAGCTACTGTGACTATTTAAATGTCAGTTCAGCCCAGTCCCCTTGTTGAGGGGAGGAAGAGGAGTCTCCCCAGAGCTTGTGTGTCAGTGACTGGGCATCTCTTACCAGGGTGACTATTGCACATTCAGCTGTCAGCTGGGCGGCGCTGAAGAGGGTGCGCACGAAGCGGTAGATGTGCTTGTGGTCAGGGTCGTGCTTGTAGTAGTCATCTGGGACCTCCTCCCGCTGAAAGAGAGTTCAGCATCATTACAGGGGCTCAACTATGGACCGTGGAACATGGCACAGACCAAAACAGGTTTTTAATTTAAAAAAACCCCAACATTTCTCCCTGCAAGAAAATCAGAGCTATATACACACGCGGCTCTTCAAAAGGCAAAATTATTCTCAGGGGTCCTCCCTTCCAGCTGAGGAAGAGCTGGAAAACATGTCAGTAATTCTGTAACAGGTAGCACTGGAAGGTAACTTACACTGTGTTCATAGGACTTGTTCTTGCAAGATGTCAGAAAGACAACAAAGCCAATGTACAGCTAGATTTAACTCTGACACAATGCTGAGCTGTTTCTAAATACAAGGGAGAAGAAATGCTTGGAAAGAAGGAGTCTGTAAAAGTAATGTGAGTGTTTGAGAACTCCGACCCTGTCACCCCAGACGTTCAGCACTCCTCTTGGGGGGATGAAAATTTGAGCTCCAACTTACAGGCTGACTCTGGTTTCTATCTACAGTCCAAGTTACACCTACAGTGTGGTGAAGATACCAGATGAGAACAGTGTAGCTGCTTGACATCAAGCAAGCAGTCACAAGGTAGGCAAAACAGCAAGCATTGTCATGTGGTTTTATGATTTTAAATAAGAGTGATTAAATTAAATGATTTTAAATTAGGTAAGAGTGAGAACTCCGACCCTGTCACCCCAGACGTTCAGCACTCCTCTTGGGGGGATGAAAATTTGAGCTCCAACTTACAGGCTGACTCTGGTTTCTATCTACAGTCCAAGTTACACCTACAGTGTGGTGAAGATACCAGATGAGAACAGTGTAGCTGCTTGACATCAAGCAAGCAGTCACAAGGTAGGCAAAACAACAAGCATTGTCATGTGGTTTTATGATTTTAAATAGCCAGGTAAGAGTGCCAAGAGGTCAGTTAACTCTCCACACAGCCTTCTACTACACCACTAACCAACAGAGGTTACCTATTCAAGGCAGGCATCCAACATTAGGAATAACGTGAGCAGGATCCCCCTTGCATAATTCCTGTACTACAAGCAGTCACAAAAGCACATCTGGAAGTGATTTTTTCCTGACTGGAACTGAGGGGGAAAGGACTGAGACTGGTATTTGTGACTAAACCCTGTGATACTGGTAACTAGAAATTTGTTATGCTGCTATTAGGGTCACCCGAGCCTGGATTTGGACTCCTCGTGACTGAATCTTTAAAGGACAAGGTGTTCAGAGATTTATTTCAGCTAATTAGCCTTTTAAAAGGAACTGTGGGTACCCAGCCAAAACTCCATTGCTATAGAAACTAACAAGCCATTTTTATCTTTCCCCTCAGAAGTATGGCATGCAGCCATCACTGTATTTCTGTCAGTATACTGCAGTAAGATAGGAGACCTTTAAGTGCTCCCTAAAAGACACAATAGTTTTCCTCTGTTCATGCTCATTAAATAGGAGGTAGGCTGTATGAAAGGATCAAAAGATGTCAGGTTGCTAAATAAAGAAAAGAAATTGTCTGATGAAGTGGAGTTCATTTTCCATAAATAATTTTCAGTGTGAAATAACAGATTCAGGCAGTTAAAACAGTTTTGGACCAGACTTTTAAAGTGCCACAGTCCATGAAATCTTATACTTACCTCTTCTGAAGTTCATTATTTTTATTGAGTAGAGTTATATTTATTCAAGTGTATAATTCCTAGCACAAAGGGTCACGTTTAGGGAGGAAACTCTTAACACACTTAGAATATTTAACTGTGTATTAAAAGCTGTTTATGAACAAGCCAAATCTGTGAGACAGATGAAGCTGTATCCACTCAGGTTAAGGCCCAGAGCAAACTGAACTTTTAAAGCCACTCGAGCTTTGCTAAATTAATTTCAAATTAAACACCAAGGAAGTGGTTGTGTAGGACAGTCATTAAGCTAACAGTCCTTGAACCAGACACATTCCACTCTGGAGTCTGCCTGCACTGCCAGGTTTTGCATCTTGAAGATTGTCTGAGAAGGTGTACCAGGACCAGTCCCATTAAAATCACATGCTGAATGCTCCTGGCTCTTTCTGCAAGCAGATTAAGCATTTGCTTTAAAAGTTTGACTTTCAGCTTTTTTAAAGACCAAAGTCTGTCTCCTCCTTTGTATGATGCTTCTCCTATCATGTTCTCCTGTTTGCACTCATTTAAAAGGTTAGGCACATACCTACTAACCATGACTCCTAAACACATAGGAAATACTTTAAAATAGTGTCAAAGAGGGG